GATGTTGAGTCAGATGATGAGGATTCTGCTCCCTCTGCTAGAAAAGCCGCTGGGAAACGGTGAACGGAACTTTCTTGTACTAATTTAGATGAGCTCTCTCTGCCAGGAAAAGTCTACAAACTGCAGACAAGATAATTGCTGTTTACAAGAATAGAGAGGTGGAAAGTCCGGCTTAGCTTTAGGGGTCGTTTGGTATGGGGTATAAGTAAAAATAACGCTGATATAAAAATTTAATACCAGCTTATACCTTGTTTGGTTACCAAATCTGGTATAAGTTATTCCAGTATTAAAATTAATACCGGGATTACTTATACCTCTCAGGAGGTGGGATAATTAATGCTGCGATTATTATCCCCTGACGAAATAGCGAAATTCACCAAAATAGCCCTAAAGTCCTCAAACCCTTTTTCTACGTCACTTTTCCCATTCTTTACGCAACATTGGTAAAGCAACGCCGCTACAAATTTCTCTGCTCTCGGGGAAAACTTCTTCTCTTCTTTGAATGCAGAAGCTATGTTGTAGTGATTGAAGAAGACATTATCTTCCATTTTGCTTTTCTCACAAGGTTAAAACTTCTATCAAAACCTATTTCTCTTATTCTTTCTTGTTATCATTTATAAGTTCTTTGTTGCATAATTTGGGTCCAGTCCTCTTCTCTACCAAAATAGTAAAATTCTGAACTCTTTTATGAATGGTACGTAATTGTTTTGCTGAATTTTATTTAGCAAATAATTGAGAAAAATCATAGCCTTTAAAACTCAATATGTAGTGCCGAAAGAGCTGAAATATATGAAAGAGTACCACAAATCATAGTTGTGGATTGTCTTCTGCCATTTATTAGCCCTTCTCTCTTTATGTTGATGATGAAATCTTAGTTTAGCTTCTTTCCAAATATTTGTTGGGTTCATTTGTTTCTCTTTATGTACTTGAAAATTATAAATTTTTACTCACAGATTTCTTTTTCTAATTGTAATTTTTTGTATATTAATTCTTTTCATATTTGTAATGGCAAAATTAGGTTTTCTTATGGATCATCAACTATTGTCCGATATTGAATGCGTTATTATCCTTGAGGAGATATTGTGCCAACAACTTGTTGTATTTATATTTCTTTTAATGACTATTTATGGTTATTCTATAAGAATACAACATAGAAATAGGCGTGTGATTAGGTACCGTATGAGTGTTCGAATTCCTAAAATTATATCTCATTTGAATTGTATCATCTCCATTGTTACTTGTTAATCTCAAACCAGTGCTTGAAGATGAGGTTGAAGATCAATGGAGATGAATTAAGGTATGTAAAATTTCTTTTGAGCATATATTAATTTATGTAAAACTAAAAAAATATATAATCATACGAAAAGAAATTAATAGTTTGAGATAATCTATAATTGATTTTATAGGGATGTCTAGATGCACTTGATGGTACTTTCATTCAAATTAGAGTTCCATTCGAGTACAAACCAAGATACAAAACAAGAAAAGGAGAAATAACAACTAATGTATTGGGAGTTTGTGATAAAAATCTTAATTTTACTTATGTATTACCTGGTTGGGAAGGATCAGCTACCGATGGTCGTGTATTACGAGATGCTATAGTGCGAACGAATGGTTTGAAAATCCCTGAGGGTATATCATACATATGCTTATACACTCAAGTTGTATCACAAAAAGAATGCTACGTAAAAGTAACAAAATTTTATGTTTATATTATAGGAAATTATTATTTGTGCGATGGAGGATATACAAATGGAAACGGTTTTCTTTCACCTTACAGAGGGTATAGATATTGGTTAAGGGATTGGCAAGGTGACAATCCACCACCTCGATGTCGAGAAGAGCTTTTCAATATGAAGCATGCTAGGGCTCGTAATGTTATCGAAAGAGCATTTGGTCTCTTGAAAGAGCATTGGGGAATTCTTAGAAACTCTTCGTGGTACTCAGTTAAGGTTCATAATAGGATCATTAGTGCTTGTTGTTTGATGCACAACTTTATTCGTAGAGAGATGGAAGTGGATCCCTTAAATATTGATATGGAAGAACAAGTGGAGTATCAACATGACAACATTAATGTTGTTGAATCATCTCAGGAGTGGACCACATGGAGGGATGAGTTGGCTCAATCAATGTGGAATGCAAGTCTAAACAATTGATCGTTTCAAAACGTTCCATGCTTGTATTATATTTTGTGGTGTTTGGGTATTTTGCTCTTTAGTTTTTTGTATGATTGTAAGGTGTATCAACTTTCAGTTTTTTTGTGATTATAAGAAATAGTTACTTACTTTAATTTTTGTGAAGATTACTTATATTTAGTTAGCGTTTCTTTTTTGATAGTTCTATACTTCCATACATATGCTTTTTGTGATGCTAAATAATATTGGAGATACTTATGCTTTTTGTGGAGATAACTAATACTTATGATGATTTATTTCACAAGATTATACAGATATAATGAATAGACAGGCAGAAAATTCAAAGCTATTGCCAATAAGATCAAGAAAATCAACACCTTCTTCCCGAAGGATCTGGACTCCAGTAGAAGAAAGTGCTCTTTTAGATGGTTTAAAAAAATTGCGTGCTGATGGTTGGCGAGCTGATAATGAAACCTTTAGGCGAGGATACTTGATGGAATTAGAGCACTATTTGCATGAATGTCATCATAGTAGTCAATTGAAAGGTGAACCACATGTTAATAATAAAGTAAAAGCGTGGAAGAGATGTTATTCAAACATAAGTTTATTAAAGAGTCGAAGTGGTTTGAGATTTCAATATAGTGATGGAACCATAATTGTTGACGATCCAAAACAGTGGGATGACTTTATAAAGGTAATTTATACTTTGCTTAAGTTATTAGAATATTGTTACTTCATATAGGAATTTTCCTGAGTTCCCATCATAGTTTATAACTGACGCATATGTCATTACTTTTGTTTCTTTCCTTATTTTTTCTAGATGGATCCAAAAGCAAAAAGCATGAAAACTAAGAAATGGCCAATGTTTGAGGATTGGGAGGAAATTTTTGGCAAGGATAGAGCGACAGGAGAGTTCACAAAAGGGCCGCTAGATGTTGCTGAGGATATTCTAAGGAGTCAAGCTTCAGGAATTTCTAATGACATGAGCTTAGGATGGCCTATTGTTGTTGATGATGAAGGAGAAGATGATGCTGGTGATGGACCTAATATAGCTACTGGAGAAGCTGAAAATGAAAATACTTATGATGGACCTAGTTTTACTGGAGCATCTGAAAAGGAAGATGCTAGAGCATCTGAACAAGAATGTGCTGGAGCATTTGAAAATGAACATGCAGGATTCCAACAAAATCATAAACAAGGTGAACATGCTAATAGATCCTCTTCTAATTTCAATGAAAAAGAGAAAAGCAAGAAAAGAAAAAGGGTTGTGGAAGATTCTAGTGAGACATTTCTTAAGGGTATGACAGAAGTTATGAAAAACTTTATTGAAAGTCAAGATAAAAGAATGGGTGCCTTGATTGATAAGATTGACAATTGTGACCGATCCGATATTCGTAGTGAAATTTATTCCATCCTTGAGTCTCCCGCATTTGAGTTGTACTCTGTACAAGAATATATCAAAGCTACAATGATTCTCTGTGAAGATGTCAAAAAGATGAAATTATTTTTACGTATGGGTGAACTTGAGCACCAAACAATGATGTTCATGATTATTAATGGCAAACTTTGAAGTATGGTAAAGTTGTGTATATGTGGTGGTACTAGTTTGATAGTTTTTGCTCGACTAACAACTTTAAAGTTAAACTGTAGTGCTATTTTTGATACCTCGGGTTATGTCCATACTCTTTTGTTTATGACTGGTGGGCACGAGGATGCTATATTTTTTGTGTAACTAATATCTATTAAATAGCTTAACTCTAGTGTAAATGTTATGTACATATGTAATTATATTACTACTATGACAATTCTTCAATTTCTCTTTTTAGCTTAACTATGTTTTTGATGCCTCTAAATTCTATAGTTTTGGTTATGTTCTAGCCAACTTGTGGATCTTGGTTTGAACCTCTGATGTGGAGTTTTTTTTTTAAATCACAATACATTCCATGAAAATTGAGAAGACCAAGAAATCAGTATATTATACATGGCAATTAGCGATCTTACATCTGAAGAAAACATGGAATTAAGTTAGGAAGCAGATTTAGAAGAAGAAATCAGCAGATATATTTCAAACAAATGAAAACTAGAGCCTCAAAAAATTATTTAGTACTTGTTGATGTAAGAATTGGAAATTGACGTACGTCAATTGGATAAAGGAGTAAGAAGATGGAGGCTAAATAAGATGGAGGGTATTTTTGTAAACAAATAGCTTCTTCTTAGAAATTATGCAATGCATGTCATTTTTAATATAACATACCAAAACAATACCAGCATAACTAATCCCAACATAACTTATCCTAGCATAACTTATCCCAGAACAAGGGGTATTCAAACCAAACGACCCCTTAATGTGTTATTTATACACTTGTAACTTTTAGAAACTGACTTTTGAGAGGTGAGATAAATTTTGTTTTCCTTTTATTTATTTTTTAAAATTTGTATTGACTTGTAATGAAGCTGCCTCCCGTTGTCTGTCATGCCTTTGTGGGTGTGACGATTCCGCGTGAAGGCAAGGAATATTTTTCTAGCAACTAGTGTGATAATTCAGTTATTCTTGTTCTAACTTACTGATGAATTTTGAATGCTTGTATGTCTTCATCAAAGGTTTACGGATTTATCAATGACCAAGAAAAGTGGCTTCAACTATATTGATCTGATCTATTGCAAAATATCCTTAAGCCTCTCCTTTGAATACTGAAATTGCAAGTTGAGAAAGAGTTTACTCAGTACTTAGTAGTGTGCTTCCCTCCCACCACCACCTCCTTAAAATTATCAAAGAAACAATGCGTAGGGTGGTCTGAACTTGGCTTTTATGGACCATGACCACAGAGAAAGAGAAGGGAAACTAATAGCCCGTTTGGCCAAGCTGTAAAAATCAACTTATTTTGAGAAGTGTTTTTTCTCAAAAGTATTTTTGGTGAGAAACAATCTGTGTTTGGCTAATTAATTAAAAAAGCAATTTTGAGCAGCAATTAGTGTTTGACCAAACTTTAAAAAATCACTTTTAAGTGTGTTTTTTTCAAAAGTATTTTTCAAAAGAGTACTTTTTGGAGAGAAACTGTTTTTTTCTACTTCTCCAAAACTACTTGTGTTTCTCCTCAAAAATATCTGTTTTCCTTTCAAAAGTTTGGCCAAACACCTTAATTTTAGAAAAAAAAAACACTTTTGATCCAAAAAAATACTTTTGCCTCAAAAGAAGCTTGGCCAAATGGACTATAAATTAGTACGATTTTGGTTATATAGAAATATACTTTGACATAATCAACTAAAGTTTTAGCTTTGCCCTAAAAACCGTTCATCAAGTACAAGTGGACGTTCTTATTAGCGTGGAACGAGTTAAGAGAGCAACTGATGACACTAGTATTGAGGGTTACGAGAGGCGTTGTATTTGACTCTAGAATATTCTCATAACCCTCATAATTTTAACACTAAACTAAAACTTAACCAAGCTGTTAGATTTGCATCTTTGTTACTGTTCCCACTTTGACACATTATAACCAGGGCGGCTCAAACATATTTGTGGCCTAAAACCAAAGTTTAATGTGAGGCCTAAATTTTTAAAAGAAAGTTGATAATAATTTCTTTATAATCGATTTCCTCTGATAATTCCTTTTCAATTGAAAATATAGCCAACCCATTTAATCTATCTTTAGATATTGTTAATCTCAGGTACAATTTTATCAATTATAATCTTCAAAACTTCTTTGTTTTGATGCAATTGTTATAGAAAAATTCTACTTTTGTATGAAAAGTACTAAATATTACTATTTTTTTTAAACACCTATAAACCTATTATTTCTAAAAAAAGGGGCCTCCAAAATTTGGGGGCCTAAGGCAAAAGCCTTACTTGGAATAACATTAGAGCCGGCGCCGATCATAACCCAATCAATTAGTTTGCTTATACCTGATTTATTTCACCACCTCCACCATATATATATATAATAGTGAACATAGAATGTACGAGAAATTAAAATGATATCACTCCAATATGTCAGGGACATCAAGACTTTTATGCAATCAATGGTTCCTATCATTGATGCTTTTAATGGCGCGTTAATGCAATCCGATGTTGCTCAAGCAATTTCTAACAGTATTAACATGGTCTAAGTTGCTATGAAAGACCGATCATTGTAAAAAGTAGGAACATTTCCATAAAGCACTATCTTTTAGTAGTAATTAGTCATTCATAGATACCATTTGCTATATTACATATTATAAATACCTTTTATGTGGTTATAAGATATATTTGATATATTTAAGCTATTGTATTCAAGCAAAAATAGGCGTGAATCAGAAAAGTCTAGCTGATCAGTTGTTGTATTCGAGTGTATTTGACTGTATTCATGGAGTGAAACATGAGATTACAGCTGGACAGATTATTGTATTCGACTGTATTCACGGCATGAAATAGGAGATTACACTGGTTTTAAAACGGAAAGTGAATCAATTAACATAATATACTCCTAATATAACTCAACAAACTCAATTATAACACACAAATTTTGTATTTTCAGTTATAAAAAAGATTCTCAACCGAAAAATACCCCAAAAACATAGCAATCTTCAGAGAAATTATATAATACATCTGAATACATAAATTATATTAATTAAAAAAAACTTATGAATACATTCATGGCATATAGCGAGACAGTGAATACAATGAAATACATAGAATACAGCGGGATACATTGAAATACAATGAGAAAAAAAGACCGTGAATACAATAAAATACATGGAATACAACGAGGTACATTGAATTACAATGAAAAAAAGACAAATGAATACAATGAAATACATGAAAATACATTGAAATATATTAACATAAAATTATCCTACAACATCCATATCTCTAGGCTCACCATCTTTGGAGACACCTTTGTCTCCACTAACAAATCGAAGTTGGCAGAGACAAATATACTTGAGCAACTCCTTCGACCCGCCCTCCTATTTCCCGCGCATCCTTCGCAATCAACACCTAATTTGCGAGTGCAACTATACTCTAACAATTCTCCTACTACAATGGAGGATATCGACGGAGGAGAAATGACAAGCGAACTAGACAGAGAAGAGGAAGAAGCAGCCACCGACTTACTCCGCGATCGATTCCGATTATGCACTATTTCCATTGCTGAAGCCGAGGGTATTATTTTAATCAAAACACATACAGTAATTTCTGAAGTGGGCTTTGCACAAAAACGGTGGAAGGAGGAGGAGATCAAAAATTTTAATGGGATGGGGGAAGAGAATGAGATGTATCAAAGTAGAGAGAGAAAGAAAATAATATAACCGATTAGCGTATTTAGTGGCTTAGGGCTAGGAGGTAATCAAAATTAAATATTTTGGTATAAACCTTAAAAGGTATCTATAAAATATAATTTTTTTAAATGGTATCTATTTAAAATAAATAAGGTGTTAAACGAGGTAAAAATTCCTAAAAAGTAGTGGACCATCCTGTGTTGCTATATCGTTGTGTTAGTGCCCATCTACTCAAGTCTCAACTACAGCAAACTTTTAGATAAATATCAAAATGAAAGTATGATTGACCATTTCCTGATAAGTAATAGGAGCAGTATATTTTTATTTTATGATGAAGCTAGATACAACGGAACAAGACTTTGGTGAGTGCTTGAATATAATTTATACTCCTAGATTAAAAAGCCAAGGTCGTAATCAACTTAATTTGGATTCTTTGATGAGTATCTAGCGTAAAACTCAACCTAGGACAAAAAAGAATAGAAATAGATTGAATTTTTATTTAATTCTTAGATTCCACTCATGCCAAACTTCCCTTTAATGAAGCCATTTTTGCACGCCCATTGTCAAATGCTACTGAGGATTCCGTTCAAACTCAAACCTCCAAAACCCAAAACCCTAATCTCTTTTCTTCTTACATCTCGAACATCACCATCTTATCACACATTCTCTTTATCTCTTTTGCAAACCCATACACACTTCAACCATTTCACCCAAATCCTCTGTCATGCCTTCACTTTAGGCTTCTTCGCTAACCCATACATTTCCAGCCAACTCCTCAGCCACTGTCTTTCAAATCCTGATTTTACCCTTGCTTTTTCTCACACCCTTTTCTCCCAAATCACAAACCCTAATGTCCTCTCTTGTAATTTCCTCCTCCGTGCATACTCCCACAGTTCATTCCCTGAACAAGCCATTAGTCTTTACAATCAAATGATGCGGAAAAGTATGATTCTTGATAATTTCACTTTCCCTTTTGTACTGAAAGCTTGCGGTAGGTTAAATAGTTTTCACAAGGGTGTTGAAGTTCATTGTGTGAGTTTGAAAATGGGGTTTGGATTTGATGTATTTGTGCAAAATGCATTGGTTTATATGTATTTCCAATGTGGGGTTGTTGAGCTTGCACAGAAGGTGTTTGATTTTATGCCCGACTCAGGTCGAGACGTTGTCACTTGGAATAGTATGATTTCTGGGTATTTACAATGTGGATTTTGTCATCAAGCAGTGAAAACGTTTAGAAAAATGTTGCACGAAAGTGGTGTGAGGTTGAATGATGTAAGTATTGTGAGTGCTCTTATTGCGTGTGCAAGAACCGGGTTGCTTGATTTGGGGAAGAAGATTCACGGGTTGATTGTTGTTTATGGGCTTGTGATTGATGTGTTTCTGGGTTCTTCTTTAGTTGACATGTACACAAAATGTGGGCAGTTAGAGGATGCTAGGAAGGTTTTTGATAGATTATTAGATAAAAATGCAGTCTGTTGGACTTCTATGATTGCAGGTTATTTGCAGTCGGATATGTTTAAGGAAGCAATAGAGTTATTTAGGGAGATGCAGATGGCTGGGGTTAAGGCCGAACCTGCCACAATTGCATGTGTTGTTTCTGCATGTGGGCATTCGGGTGCACTAGATTTGGGAAGGTGGGTGCTTAATTATTGTGAAAAGAGTGGTATTGAAATGAACCTTGTAGTGAAGAATTCTTTGATTGATATGTACTCTAAATGTGGATTAGTTGATAAGGCTCTTGAAGTTTTTCATTCGTTAACTAATAAGGATGTTTATTCATGGAGTATGTTGATTTCTGGGTTAGCTATGAATGCAAGATCCGATGAGTCTTTGCAATTATTTTCACTAATGGAAGGATCGAGTGGAGTAAGGCCAAATGGCGTAACATTTCTCGGGATCTTATCTGCCTGTAGTCATGGTGGGTGTGTTGGTGAGGGGTTTTACTACTTTGAGAAGATGACCGGGCAATACAAATTGTCCCCCGGGGTTGAGCACTATGGCTGCCTGGTTGATCTCTTGGGCCGTGCAAATCTTCTGGTTGAGGCTATGGAGTTCATCGGTTCCATGCCCATTCAACCAGATGCTATCATTTGGCGATCCCTGCTTTTCACTTGTAGTAGACACGGAAATGTAGAGTTGGCGGAAGTTGCTGCCAAAAAGATTAGTGAATTGGAGCCAGAGAAATGTGGGGCACACGTACTGCTGTCTAATGCTTATGCCTCTGCATCTAGGTGGAAGGATGTGAGAATGGTAAGGAGGAATATGGGTGCTGAGGGAATCCAGAAGCAACCTGGATGTTCTTTTATTGAAGTAGATGGTTCTGTTCATGAATTTCTTGTTGCTGATAGCGTACACTCTCAGATTGACGTCATATGTGATACACTTCAAGCAATGAATTTAGTTCTTAAATCAAGAGTATTTGAGCTTGATTTTCTGGATTATTAGTGTTAATATAATAATATTCCAGTTATCACGTGATATCGTCCCAACATATAAGCCCATTGGCTAATTTTTTCCGATATAAATGGCTATGATTAGAAGCAATTCATGCTCATATCTGCATTAGGATGAGAAGCTGGTGTCTTGAAGACTCTGTATTGTGTTACATATTTGACAATTCTTCTGGGGAGCATGAGAAGTATATGTGGTTATTACATTTAAGTCAACTGCATGTATCTTACACCATTGCTTAATTATAAATCCCTGCATATGTTGGGCCAAAGTTGGATGTTACCTTCCAGGAATTGTTGAAAATCCCATGCAAAATTTGACAATGCAGAGATGCTTACTGGTCTGGATCCAAGGTGCTCATGTTCTGCTGGAAGTGTGAGATACACCTACCTGAAGCTGCTTAGCCCATATTTTGTTAAAGACCAGCAACTAAAGGAGCTACTAAGTGATGCCATCCAGCAGTCTCTGGAGTTCATCCTTAATTTGAGACGGAGGGAGTACTATATTCAGGGGCGGAGGTTGAAGGCAACTTATGGATTCGGCCGAACCCAGTAGGTTTGTCCTAAACCCTGTATTTGTGGTTTGAAATTCACTAAATATATACAAATTTTAAATTAGCGCTTGAAATCATTGTTGTAGAATTCAGAACCTATAAAGTTCAAATTCTGGATCCACCTTTAGTTTGGCGTTTGTTATTTTGTATGTGCATTATATGTCATGGTTGAGGGCGTGCAAAAGGGGGAAATTGCGGTGTTAACAGAAAGAAAAGCAACAAATAATGGAAGGAAAGAAAGAGCATCGACATTTCTTTCTTTAGCAGAAAAAGAAAGGAAACGCGCATTTTTAAATGGCAATTTGTAACATTATCACAATAATGAATTCCTGACTAAGATGAATTTAAATACTTTTGGTAGATTAGCTGCACTAACTACGATCGAATAAACAAGAAAAGAAGAATGATTAAATAATAACTTTCGAAGCCTAATCGCAGAGGGGGAGGAAAAAGGGGAAAAGAAATCAACTTGTGAAGGAGAGGGGTGAGTTAAAGTATCACAAGCTCGACTCCTTTGGGAACTTTCCCTTGTAGCTGCCTCCAAGCCCGGCTTCTTGACCTTCTCTCAACTTTGGAACTCTTCTTCCTTGAATATGAAGAATGATCGCAAGGTCTAACGATGGCTTTCTCAAGTGCTAACGATTTTTTAAGAAATTCCTTATCAGCTGTACCCCCAAGATAACCTCCATATCTCACCACTTTGAGATGTTGATATGGATTTTGCCTACGTATGTCCAGAATAAATTGATCAAAGATCCTTGTATTAGTCCACTTAACCTGAAAAGGCAAAAAAAAAAAAAAAATACAATTATACTCTGAAATATAGTGGAGTAACTGGTTCCTTCAAAATCTAAATCAGAAATTGAATGTGTGTATATCAAAGAAAGTTGTGTATTACTGTACTTAATTTGACAATGTATAGATTATGATAATCGTTCGATCCTTCACGGTTTTGCCACATCCTATAATGTACAGTACTACATTCCTCTGAACATCCAACGTTAGTTTCCAATGAGAAGTACAAAAGCAAGTAAGACACTAGATGACATATATCTAACCCTCAAAAGTTCCATACATTGTAATATATGTTAAGAATATAATAACAAAAACAAAAGATGAAAGCAGTTGGTCATTCAGACATGAGGGCAAAATGTAAACACTGTAGGACAGATAAGGCTAAAAAAGGAGAAAGTTGGTTTTTCTTTTGCATGAAAATCATCCAGCCTTTGAGATGGACAAGCCAAAAAGGGTGACATATTAATTAAAAAGAATAAACACCTCTATATACATTGAACTCGAACATTCCCAGGTATGGAGACGCTTGCAAAAGTGGAGTAACATTAAGTAGACTGCTATCGATAGCTTCGTCAATAGTAAGTATAAGCCATTTGAGATTGTTGAATTTTGGAAAAGAAAAATAATAATCAACATCCTGGAAAAAAATAAAGAAGAGTTAAAAAAAGGGCACTCGAACTTTCATTTGTTCTTTATGGGAGGGGAAAATTGCTTACCTCATATTGGCTAGTTTTTACTTCAAGTGGAAGTTTCACCAGTTGAGTGAATTTCGTTGTAATCAAATCAATGAGTCTAGGCAGCGATCCATAGTAAATCTCAATCTCAAGATTAACAATCGAAGAAACATTCTCTATACGCAAGTTTGTTTTCTCAGATCCGTAGAAATAGAAAGAGACAAGATTGACATTACAGATCTCCAGATAATGTATGTCGCATTCATATATTTCCAAATGCTTCAACTTGAGGGAAGGACCGATTTCCAGATGTTTTAATACCTGAGATTTTCTTATAGATAATTGTTCAAGAAGGGGGCAGCTCGAGAGGAAAATATTGACCACTTGATTGTCTACATCAACACTGCCTAAAGTCAGCACTTTGAGATTCTTAAATCCAAAGATTGGCGAGGACGATAAGTACTCCTGGAACTTTTTCAAATCCAAACATATCTGAAATTTGGCCATCCTAGAGGGATAATTCTATCTTAAGGCTTTGGACTTTTGTTGATAATGCAAATTTCAGCAACTTATCAACGTCACGTTGAAAACTACTATGAAAAAGAGAAGAGACAGTGAATCTTCTAAAAGAGAAGACTTGTGCAAACTCAAGACATGATTAAATCTGGCTCAACGCTTCCTTAAAGTTGAGACGTGCGACAAGTGTCCATATGTAGCGCCATCGACTTGAAAGACAACTTGTGAGCACTGCTTCTTTCAGTGTCAACTTACAAAGAATTGATACAAGAATGTCATCTGGCAATTGGCTAAGCCTGTCCTCCATTACTACAGGGGGGCTACAGCGGGAATTTTTTTTGTTGCTGAGACATTAAAAACAAAACCAAAGCTAAAAGGCCAATATTGCCGGATTACATCAGTAACGAAGTAATAATTGCCTGGTTGCATCAATAACAAAGCAAAGAGCAGTTTAAGAGTAGTAAACAATTAGTAAAACTTAGTATACGTATATGTATTGGGAAAAATCAAGTTAATATATCGAATTAATTATGTGATGACATGTCATGACACGTGGATCAGTAAAGGAATGACAGTTGGCGAAGAATAGTTGAAGAGACACGAGCTTTAACAGGCACAGACAAAGATCCAAAAAACCCAGAAGGGATGGGTGCTCAAACCTCTTGATAATTTGAAGAAGCATCGGAAGAATGAACCTAGATAGCAAAAGAATATAGATACGTATTACCGGTAGTTAATGAGCATTAATTACAGGAAACGTTATAGAATCTGTACTGAACAGTTACGATTGCCAATTATAACGTTATATTAAATGTCATTAATTGTCCATAATAACTCCATTAAGGAAGGAAAGAAACGTATTACTTAGAAATAGCTATAAAAGGTGAGGAATGAATATTTGTAAGGACACGAAATGCTATTGGAATATACTGATTTACTTTGCTTTTTATCCAGCTATTATTTACATCATTTATTCTTATTTCTATTTGATTATCAGTAACCTGAGTTCTTCTAAAAACAAGCTTTGACCAAAATTCTTATTTTTGGTTAAACAAATTGGTTCCGTTACCGGGAATCTGATAATCTATTACTTTCTGAATTGACCTTTTTTGTAAAAATCAATCATGTCAAATGTCAACGACAACAATCAAGGAGACCATCAGTTACAGGAGAATCATCAAGGCGATGGAACCCCAGTCCCTTCCCCACGAAATTCTTCTCGACAATCTCGAGAAGGAACTCCTGATGGATCTCAATCAAATGCAAAATGATGAGGCTATTAACGAAGCTTTGAAAAAGTTAATTGCTCAACAAGTTAGCAATGCTCTTGAGGCTTTCGCTAACCAGTTGCCAGCTGCGCCGCCAACATCAAATCCAAACAACAACACTTTAGAAAATCCCTGCTCAGGACTCGTTAATTCGGGCATTGGAGGAATTCCTAGCGAATCTCGTGATGGAGGGTCAGGTAACCCAATCAATTCTGATTTACAAAATTTAGTACTAACATTGCAGAAACAGCTCAAGGAGCAGAGCGATCGCATAGAGCAAATACCTGGAGTACCGCCTGTAATCAAGGGAATATATATGGACAAATACTCACAACAACCTTGGAAGCCAAGTGCAGCTCCTCTACCGATTTCGAAGAAATTCAAGATGTCCGATATTCTGAAATATGATGGAACAACAGATCCACGGGATCGCGTGACTGCATTCACAACCGACGTAAAAGGCAACGACTTAACCAAGCAAGAAACTGAATCAGTATTGGTCAAAAAATTCGGAGAAACACTCACTAAAGGAGCTTTAACATGGTATTATTTTCTACCCGAAAATTCTATAGATTCTTTTGCTGAACTTGCAGATTCATTCATCAAAGCACACTCGGGAGCTCAAAAAGTTGAGAAAAGAATGGACGACATTTTCAAAATAAAGCAAGGAGATACAGAGCTACTCAGGGAATTCGTAGACAGGTTTCAGCGTGAAAGGATGACGTTGCCACGTGTACCAGATAACTGGGCAGGTATGGCGTTTGCCAGCAATCTAAATGGAAAAAGTTCAGAAGCCACTAGGAGACTCAAAGAAAGTTTATGAGAATTTCCAGCTACAACTTGGAATGATGTTTACAATAGATATAGCACGAAGCTGCGGATAGAAGAAAATACCATCATTCAATTTTGAAGCGATGAAAAGGTAAGTTCAAGGCGAACTAAAACTGAAAAAAGGTCCGGTAAAAATAGGTACGAGCCTTACATGGGACCAGCGGGAAGAGACTTACGTTCAAAACAGGAAAACCTAAGGTACGATCATAGATCAAGAGATAGTGAATCAGGTTCATCATCAAGGCTCAGAAAAGAACGAAACACGCGAGAAACACGTGATATTGACAAAAGCACGAAGGCAAAGATCGGCGGTTACAGTTTTAATGTTAGCACATCCGAATTGGTGGTTATTTTAAGGAATATGGTCGACAAGGTACGATGGCCAAGAGAAATGAGATCAAATCCGAATAGGCGTAATCCTGGTTTTTAGTGCGAGTTTCACCATGATCACGGCCACAAAACGGCGGATTGTAGATTACTGCAAGGTGAAGTAGAACATTTATTGAAACAAGGGTATTTAACTGAATTATTTAGTGAAAAGGGAAAACAGTCATATATGAAAAATAGGCAGGAGCCTCCAAAACCCCCTTCACCAAAAAGGACGATTAATGTCATAAACGGAGGAGAAGAAGTCTATGGCGTAACAGCAGCGAGGAAGGTGTCAAAAATAACGATTACACACGGGAAGCGAGTTCGGCAAATTTTGGAAGAAGATAATATTACCTTCAATGATGCAGACGCGGATGGCGTGCTAACTCCACATAATGATGCACTGGTAATATGTTTACTTGTACATAACACTAACGTGAAACGAGTTTTGATTGATCCAGGTAGTTCTGTAAATATCATTCTGTTAAGAGTGGTAAATGAGATGCAAGCTGATGATAAGTTGATACCCAAGGCTCATACATTGTCCGATTTTGACAACTAACACTCACCACATTCGCTAAAGGAGTAGTCAAAGACACCAAATTTCAAGCGGATGGATATGGCTTATAACATGATTCTTGGTAGACCATGGATTCATGAAATGGAAGCTGTTCCATCGACTTTGCATCAAGTTATTAAATTTTCTTCACAATGGGGAATACGGAAAATCCGTGGTGATCAACAAGTGTCTAGGAGTATTAATTCCATAGCAGATTCGAGCGCAAAAAGCGAAGAGAAATAGCAATCACAAAATCCAGTTGAGGATGCTGCAACACAAGCCTCAACTAAGCACGGATGAACAAATGTAGACTTTAGGCCTGATACCATGCAAGAGCCAGAGGAAAATGAAAACATCAAACAACGATTGAAGAATTGGAGGCTGTAGTACTATTTGCACCTCAACCTGAAAGGAAAGTCTACATTGGGGCCAACCTAAGCCAAGAAATCAAAGGTAAGTTGACTGAATTTTTGAAAACTAAGGTGGATTGTTTTGCCTGGTCCCATTCTGATATGACAGGAATACCTCCGGAAGTGATGACCCACAAGTTAAATGAATATCCATCATACTCACCTGTAAAACAAAAGAAAAGAAAGCAATGATCTTTCAAAAATCAGGTGATTCAAGATGAGGTGCAAAAACTTTTAAAAATTGGGTCCATCCGCGAGGTAAAATATCCAAATTGGTTAGCTAATACTGTAGCAGTACCTAAAAAGAATGGTAAATGGCGAGTTTGTGTAGATTATACTGACCTTAATAAAGCTTATCCTAAAGATTCTTTTCCATTACCGCATATAGATCAACTAATTGATGCTACTACAGGACATGAATTGTTAGGTTTTTAGATGCATATTCAGGGTATAATCAGATAAAAATGGATCCTATAGATGAGGAAAAAATTTCATTTATAACAGACAGGGGGATTTACTGTTACAAAGTAATGCCATTCGGTCTCAAGAATGCTGGAGCCACATATCAAAGGTTGGTGACCAAAATATTTCAAGAACATCTAGGGAAAACCATGAAGGTATATATAGATGATATGGTAGTCAAGTCACAACAAGCAGGGGATCATATCCAACACTTGTCTGATACATTTCAAATTCTTCATAAATTTAACATGAAATTAAACCCTGAGAAATGTGCATTTGGAGTTTCGTCAGGTAAGTTCTTAGGATTTTTTGTTTCTAACCGTGGCATTGAAGTAGATCTCTTGCAGATTAAAGCTATTGAGGAAATTCCGGATACACTGATAAGTAAAAAAGAAGTACAGAGACTGACAGGAAGAATATCAGCTTTGGGAAGGTTTATTTCAAAATCATCAGAAAAATGCTTCAGGTTCTTTTCAGCCCTAAAAAAGCAGGATCAATTTGAATGGTCTGAAGAATGTCAACAGGCGCTTAAAAATTTGAAAGTATATTTGTCAAATCCATCGTTGCTTGCAAAACCAAAAGATGGGGAGAAACTACTCATCTACCTTGCTGTTTCAGAAGAAGCGGTAAGTGTTGTGTTAGTTCGAGAAGACCAAGGCAAACAGTCTCTGATTTATTATGTTAGCAAGTCATTATTAGATGCTGAAACTCGGTATCCTCGTCTAAAAAAACTTGCACTTGCATTAATTATGACATCTAGGAAGTTAAGACCTTATTTTCAATATCATCCCATCTCTGTAGTAATCGCCTATCCCTTGCGTAATATATTGCATAAACAAGAGTTATCAGGTAGATTAGCCAAGTGGGCCATAGAACTAAGTGAATATGACATTACATATCAACCTAGAACTGCAATAAAGTCACAGGTTTTAGCAGATTTTGTGGTAGATTTTAGTCAAGGGATACAACTAGAAGCAGAAAAAGAACTGCAGGTATTAAACGAGTCTAATCCAGGAACTTGGACCTTATTTACTAATGGTTCATCGAATGTGAAAGGGGCAGGTTTAGGTATTGTTTTGATACCACCCACGGGAGAAACCGTATGACAAGCCATAAAATGTCACCTTATTACTAACAATGAGGCAGAATATGAAGCTGTGATTGCAGGTTTAGAACTGGCACGAGATCTTGGTATAGAACAGTTCATAATCAAAAGCGATTCACAGCTCGTAGTTAACCAAATGCTGGGGACTTACACAACCAGAGAGGCAAGGATGTAGCAATACCTGGAAAAGGCTTGAGATTTGGTCAGGCAATTTCAAACTTGGAAAGTCGTGCATGTACCAAGAGAGGAAAATGCAGAGGCTGATGCCCTAGCTAATCTTGCATCTGCTGCAGAAGCAACGAATGATGAAGATGCTTCTGTGATTCATTTATTTCATTCCGTACTTGATCAAGACAAAAATAAGGTAAATTTCAATAATCTAACTTGGGATTGGAGGAACGAGATTGTCAATTTTTTACAGTATGGAATTTTACCTGATGATAAGAAAAAGGCCCAAGCACTTTGCAAAAAAGCTGCTCGATACTGTTTAAAGCAAAGCAATCTTAATCGTAAAATGTTCGGTGGTCCTCTAGCAAGATGCCTCGGGCCTTCTCAAACAGAGTATGTAATGAGAGAAATACATGAGGGACATTGTGGAAATCACGCGGGAGGAAGATCTTTAGTAAAAACCATGATTAGAGCTGGCTATTACTGGCCAAAAATGGAAGCAGACGCGGAAAATTTTGTGGCTAAATATGACAAGTGCCAAAGATACGGTAACAACATGCATCGACCTGCTAAATTATTACATCCGGTCATTGCAACATGGCCTTTTATGAAATGGGGGATGGATATCGTGGGTCCGCTATTAAAGGCAAGGCACACAAATCACAGAATTTTTTTAAAGTTGGCAAATTAAAAGGATTACTTCAACACCTTACTATCCGGTGGGTAATGGACAAGCTAAATCAACAAATAAAGTCATTATCAACAACTTGAAGAAAAGATTGAAAGAATCTAAAGGCAATTGGCCAGAGGTGTTACCTGGGGTCTTGTGGGCTTATCGAACAACCACAAAAACAAGTATGGAGAAAACACCATTCTCACTTGTATACGGAGCTGAAGCCTTGATTCCAGTTGATATAGGGGAACCAAGTACGAGATATACACAAGCTACTGAGGAATCAATGAAGAAGAGATGCGAGTAAACCTAGATTTACTTGAAGAAATGAGGAAAACTGCATTAATAAGGATGGCAATGCAAAAACAAGTTATGGAGCGATACTATAACCGGAAAACTCGTATCAGATACTTCAAGATTGAGGACTTCGTACTCAAGAAAGTTTTCCAATCCACGAGGGCAGCTAATGTAGGAAAGTTAAGTCCAACTTGGGAAGTGCCTTATAAGATTCATGGTGTCGCAGGAAAAGGAGCTTACGAACTTGAAACACTGGATGGCAAGATTCTACTTTCAAATTGGAATGTTGTTCATCTGAAGAGATACTATTTCTAAGGAAAAGAAATACCCACGTGCAGGTATCCTCATCTAATAACTTTTATTTTTGAATTTTTAAAATTTTACTAACGATTTTAGATGATATGCAAAAAGCTAGCCTGCACTAAATGATGAATTACGACCTGAAAAGACATGTGGAAAGAACATAATTCCCGGTCTAGGGTTACAACTATTATGATGGAAATTTAAATGGGTTAAGTAGTCTTCATCTGAAATCATACCTCCGAGTCCCGTATGTTTTTCCTTTTCAGGAAAAGGATCGCATGGAAGGAATAATCAAGTGCTCGAGATTTCATACTTCAAAGCTCAAACACTTGGGGGACTATATAATATACATATGATATATGTATAAAGAAGGCAAAGAAGACTGAAAATAATTAAAGTTCAAGTCAAGCCCAAAAGTCTACTCATCAAGTATATCAAGTTCAGAGCAAAGTCACGAACATGTAAGACAAGACAATAAAAAAACCTTCATATAGATTTCATAATCTTATGATGTCTAGGTTAAAGGCAGTATTTAGCCATGGATTATAAAAAAACCCTTGGATTTTCTTTCCTTTTTGCAAATCTGTTGTAAAGAAAACAATTACGAAAAAGTAATAGAAGATATTTAAATACATGTAAGCTGTTATTTAAACTTGACAAAGTTCAAATGAAAACTTTATCAAAGTTATTTCAAGAAACATGTGTGTTCCTATTTCCTTTTTCGTATATTTACACCATTTTGAAGTGAAACGTCTTCTTCATTAAATGTCGTATATAAAGGGCCCTATTTTATAATTTCATGTTTGATTCAAAGATCCATGAAGTTAAAAAATTATTTTTTTTATAAAAAAAATGCAAAAAGGGTAAGACGAAAACCCATGAATTAAAAAGCAAGACCTTGAATTTATATAATGAAACAAGGCAAAAAAGAGTAAAACAGAAGCTCAAGATAATTAAGTTGAAATAAAAAGTCTTGTAATATTAAGTTTATACTAAGTATGAACTTAGTTATAATCTGATTGTTATTCTTTACAAAATACCTCGAAAAGGTCTGAGGACTTGTCATTACCAAAAACTTAACTCCCAAATGGGACTAGGGGTAAAACCATAAATTCCACCAAGAAGAAAAAAAAAGAGTCAAACTTTATAAACTTTCACTATGGAGCAGAAGAAGAGTCTAAAGCAATATCATCAACAACAGAAGGCTCGATTTGATCTGAAGGAGCTGGGACATCCAGCGCACCTACATTAGCTTCAACATACTCAGGAGTATCAGCCATGGGAGAAGGAAAACTTTGGTCTTGCTGAGTTTTCTCAATGGTTTCCTTTATCTTAGCTAACTGAGCATCCAAATTAAAACCCTCTTGGCTAGCCTCCACTAGGGTATCATGGCGTGTGTTTAAAATAGCCCAATTCACTTCAATAGTAGTTTTGTCCTCAAGAGCTTCATAATCCATTTCCCCTTGGTCAATCTCATTTTTGAGCTCTTCCTTCTCGGCCAAAGTAGCATCATAAGAAGATTGCAAAGGGCAAGTGAACTTTCTAAAAATCTGACCTTATCAGAAGACACACGAAGATCCTCTTGGGTCTGGATGAGTGTCTGAACAAGTTCACCTGCATAAACTTCTTTTTCGTTCAGCAAGGCCCTCAATCCTCTAATCTCTTCACTGGCTTTGGAGAGTTGCTCGGAAAATGATGTCTTAAGGAGATTTTTATCCTTTCCAGTCTGATTGGAAGAAGCTTTCTCAACTGCTAGCTCCGATGCCATAACTCTTAGCTGCTGCTCCAAGGTACACTTACTTTCTTCTAGAACTTCCATCTCAAGCTGAAGACTTTCATATTGCTCTTTCCAATTGTTTGCTTCAATTTGATAATCAAGCATTAATTGCTCCGTATGAGAAACTCTCTTTATCATCTCTATGCCAATAAGATTGATCTAAAAAAGAAGAAAGGGGTAAGAACCTTAATAAAAAAAGAATGGAATAAAGCGTAAAAAAAAGCAAATACTTTCAGTGATGATTGCACTATATCATTCATCCAAGTCAAAGAACTATGACTCTCAAGCTTGAACTTTTCGACTGGATCGATCAAGGGCTTCAACCATACGTCAGCCCGATCTGACTTTTTCAAAAGATTACCATCGGCAGGGACCTCAATGGTAATCTGCTTCATTGCTCCACTTCCACTTGAAGAACTAACCTCAGTACGAGGAATGGTAGTATTAGGAACTGTAGAGGAAGTCATAACAGTTTGGGGCGGAGCAGAAACAGTAGCAGTAACAACTGGCAAAGAACGCACCACAGGGATAGACATGGTAAAGGAGGCAAGGGGTATTTCATCGGAAACTAAATCTAAATTTTCACTATCAAACTCACGAGAAAAAAGCTGTTCATCAGAGTCACGAGCTGCCGTAAGAGTATCTTCATCAAAACTCACCAAGGTGGCTTCAACAGGCTCGGTCACGGGAACAGAACGGGGAGGATTCATTTCATCATCTGAAAAGACGCGTCTTCTGGCCCGCGGCCTTTTAACCAAGGAACTTCCATCTTATTCCTCTTCCTTCTCAGAATCCTGGGTCGCATCAGCCTTCCTTTCCAATGAAGAACTCACGATTATCTCTTGAGCTCTTTCCAAAGAAACTCTGGAAGCTGCGACTGCTTCAGCACTTACACCACGTATGGGGAACCTTGATAAAAAGAAGGGTCAATTAAATTCTAAAGGAAAGATGAACAAAAATATGGAAAGAAAGGGGATAAAGCATTTACCATGAGTTTTAACCTTCCAACCAAACCTGTGTGAAAGATTTTTTCAAGATCTACTTCCATCGGGGCAACAATCAATAACTTCTCTACCCAACCACAAAAATTGGGAATCTCATCAACAGTTCCCATGGTTGCTGAAAAAAGAGAAAGTTAAATAGCCGCAGGAAAAATAAACCCTTTCAAAATGGAAAAGGAAAAAAAGAGAGAAAATTGCAAAAGTAAAACTTACGTGCAAAATTCCACTTTTCAGGGAATGGTACATTTTCTTCACCTACTAAACCTACAGTAGGGGCAACAATAAATTTGGCATACCAGCCACGGCCCTTGTCATCCTCAGGGCTAACTAGCACTCTCTTACTACTCGCCACTAAAGTAAAGATCCCATGTCGAAAAAGCTTAGGAGAGTAGAGATGGATCAAATGGAAAAAAGTAAAAGGCAAATTAGCCAATCTTGTTAAGTGCCTTAGACAAGAAACAGTCCTCCACATAATGGGGCCAATCTATCCTAGACAAACGTTGAAAAAATGACAGAACTCAATGATAACAGGATCAATTGGGGGTTTAAAATTCAGTGTAAAGGGATATGTATACACAAACAAAAATTCGGTCATGTAAGATGTAATTCTTTGGTTTGCATTAGGAATTATGATAGGGAAGTCAGGTCTCCAATGGCAATCCCTACGGATAACAGAAATTAAACCTTCGGTAATCTGAGAAGGGTAAACATCAGCACGATCCAAAGAAGACATAGAAGAAACCTGATTCCTAATCGATTCTCTATCAGAGTAAAAAGATAGTTCAGAAGGGACAATTTCATCTACTAAAGGCTCACAAACTGGTTCACTAGAATCTTTACCTCTAGAAGAAGATCTATGTGAATGAGAACCCCTAGTTCTAGAAGGAGAGGTAGAACTCACTGGAGTAAAGAAACACCTTGTATAGACGAAGACCCTAAACTACGCAATCTTCCCTCTCTTCTACTTCTAATAAGAACAAGAGAAAGTTCATCAACAATGGGGACTCTTCGAGGATTAGGGTTTGAAGAAGACATGGTTGTACAAGGAAGAAAACAAGAATGAATATTCTAAGATAAGTAACTTTTTATGAGAAAGGCAAAAACAAAATCTATATTTATATTCAAAAGCAACCATCAAAGAAAAAGGTGTAATGATGGAAACGTCATGATGTGAATTATCACTTCGTAATTTATGAAGCCGCAAAAAAGCCCTAAAAGATGCTGAAGAGCCGCAGATCAAATCAGAAGATGCCACATGTCACGAGCATTAAATGGAAGTGACATATGAAGCGTCAGTTCCAGAGAAGGTGTAATGGTAGCAAAAATTCCCGCTTTAATGAGATCCACTTCCCAAATATTCTATTGTTGAATAAATGGTAAGTGGAGAGACTATCTGTATTGGGAAAAATCAAGTTAATATATCGAATTAATTATGTGATGACATGTCATGACACATGGATCAGTAAAGCAATGACAGTTGGCGAAGAATAGTTGAAGAGGCACGAGCTTTAACAGACAGAACAAAGATCCAAGAAAACCAGAAGGGATGGGTGCTCAAACCTCTTGATAATTTGAAGAAGCATCGGAAGAATGAACCTAGATAGCAAAAGAATATAGATACGTATTATTACAGGAAACGTTATAGAATCTGTACTGAACAGTCGCGATTGCCAATTATAACGTTACATTAAATGTCATTAATTGTCCATAATAACTCCATTAAGGAAGGAAAGAAACATATTACTTAGAAATAGCTATAAAAGGTGAGGAATGAATATTTGTAAGGACACAAAATGCTATTGGAATATACTGATTTACTTTACTTTTTATCCAGCTATTATTTACATCATTTATTCTTATTTCTATTTGATTATCAGTAACCCGAATTCTTCTAAAAACAAGCTTTGACCAAAATTCTTATTTTTGGTT